TTGGAAATTAATTTGTATTTATTTCTCTGCTTGCAAGTAAATTTTTATTTTATGTAATTAGTAAATTTAAGGGTATTCACCAATTTACTAATTGCTTTAATACATATTTTGTCTCTGCTATATTTAGTGACCGCTACATAACAGCCGACATAACTTGTACTTCCTCACATATTCATATTATATGATTAATTTACCTTAATTATTGGTCTTTTATTTTTTGAAGTTGTTAATGCAATTTAATGTGTCATTACTAGGACCGTTGTGTAATTCTTTTGCTTCCAATTAATCCGCTTTTTTTCTAACATATTGTCGTTAATCGTTTTTCAATATATTCTTTATCCTATTAACTGCATTAGGATCCTCATCTTAGCCTAAATTGCTTTAAAATAAAAGACTTACGAGTTTCAAAATTTTTAATACCCATGTTCATACTTTAAACATGATGAATAATAAAACCAGATTGATCTTAAATGAAACATAGATCGAAATAAGAGAATATTTTGGTACTATCAAATTATGCAAAAGAGTGAAAATCAAGTCCCATATTAGTATTTTATTTTTTCTTCATTTTCTAAAGAAGATGTATGGCTTTGCCTAATTTATCTTAGGGGTCGTTTGGTAAAATGTATTAGGGATAATAATATATCTATTAGCTTTGATATTCATAATTCTTTGTTTGATACTAGTGTTTTTTAACCTATGTATAAATGATACTTGTATTAGTTATACACTCTATTCAACATTGTTCTTAGACATAGCAAATCATTTCATTAGTAATACCATAATTTGTAATACGTGGATAAGCATGTATAAAAATATAACTGCTCTTTCAAAACCTTTAATATACCAAGCCGAACATTCAATAAGAAATAATCCTTGCATATTTAATCCCAACATTACTAATCTCAACATTACTAATACACCATATTCAATATCATTCTTATACACCCTACCAAACGATCCCTTAGGGGTCGTTTGGTATGAGGTATAAAAAGGTATAGTGTTGGTATAAAAATTTAATACCACCTTAATACTTTGCTTGGTTAGCAAACCTTGTATAAGTTATCCCGAGATTATAATTAGTACCGGGATAATTTATATCTTGTAGAGGGTCGGGTAATTAGTGCCGGGATAACTTATAACTTTTTCTTAGAAATTATGCAATTGTCATTTTTAATACAACATATTAAACAGTGTATAGAAAACAGTACAAGGATAACTATGCTTAACATAACTAATCACAGCATAACTTATCCCGACATAAGTCGTATTCAAACCAAACGACCCCTTAGTGTGTTCTATTTTATTTGATTTGAAGTTATTAGGAATGCCTTTTACCGAGTCTCGTATTTTCTAATTTCTAGTACCAACATTCTCTCTCGTTGATTTTTTTTCCCCAAGTATTCTAACAAAAGTACCGTTGCATATTTGAATTCTAATTTATGGTTGATATGGTTGCAAAGTGTTACAAGCATGATAAGGTTTGGTGTAACCGATGAGGCTCCACTCATAAGTCAACATAACGATTAATACTTTCTTTAAATAAATATTATATTTCCTCATTTCTAAACATTGAATACTGCATTAGCTATTGTTTTGCTTCTTAGGTTCTTGTTCATGGAATGCATTGCTCGTGTAAATCTTAAAATAAAATAATCGAAGCATAGCTCTTCTCGACAAAAGAAAAATAAATAATTCAACTATTTGATTGATTTGAGTCTTTTATTCTTTAATTTTTATCTTTTTTGTGCTGTTATCTTTTATTATTTGAGTCTTTTTTTCCCCTTATTTCCATCTCGTATTTATGTTCTCTTTCGATAAATATGTGAGGGTGCCGGAAAATTTGACATAATAAAATCCATATTTTCTTATATTCTTCTTCATAAGAAATCCACGTAACTGAAACGAAACTTACGTAATTACCCCTTGGAATACTTTGTTGGACACTTTTGAATTGGTACTAGGCATTGAAGAAACTAATTTGGTTAACGACTTAACGCATATTATAACTTTCAGAATTATTATTGATAAATTTAAATAATACCTGAATTTTTTAACAATAAAATCAAAGTGAATAATTAAATTTTGTAGGAGTAGGAAAAATCTATATAATACTTTTCTATATTTGATTTTTTAAGGAGGTAGTAATTTCTATATATTGAAAATTACTTATTCTAAAACCTATTCTATTTTAAATTGGGAAGTATCAACACGTAACATAACTCAATTCATGCGCATGTTTGCCGTAAAAAATATCAAACCTAAAATATAATTATTTGGTCACAGGTCATTGGTAACAAAATTATAATATATATTATATGAAAGTAGAGTATTCAAATATTATTAAAAGGAGAATTCATTTGTTGGATTCTATTTGCTTAAATTTTAAAATAATATTAATTCTAATTTATGGTCAATAATACTCTTTTAAATAGTAAGGTATAATACTATATGATAGAAATCTATAGAAATTAAAACAATATTGAGAAAAAGTCACTTGACACTTTTAGGACAAAATCTAAAACCATCATCGATAAATTTAAATTATATATCTATATAACTATGTCTATATCTATATATATAGAGAGATCTATTCATTAAGTTTTCTTCTATATTCGCTAGAAACATAGAGATGACATATTACTTCGAAATTATAATATAAAAAAATAATTATTATATAAAGATGTACATTGAGATACCTTATGATTATTTATACTTTGGGCTAAGTTAAAAATACAAAAAAAAAGTGAATAAGTTTAATTAACATATCAAAGATTTGATGACTTTGAAAATTTTAAAAATTCCAAACAGCAAAATAAGATCTTAAATAAAATATCCACATTATAGTGGTAATGTGAGAGTATTTTGATAATACTCAAAAATATATTGATAAATTTAAATAATACCTGAATTTGTTGGCAATAGAATCAAAGCGAATAAATTAAATTTTCAGGAGTATAAAAATCTATATTATATTTTCTACATTAAGAAAGGATATTTCGTCAAATAATGAACTAATTAAAAGTCACATAAAATTTTAGAAAATACTAAATAATGACAAGTAATAATGAACAAAAAAGAATTTTATTTTTTAAGGAATTAATAATCCTATATATTGAAAATTACTCATTCTGAAACCTATTATATTTTAAATTTGTAAGTTACCAACACGTAATATAACTCCATGTGCGTGTTTTCCTAAAAAAGTAACAAACCTAAGATATAGTTATTTGCTCCTTGCTATTTGGTCATAAGTCATTGATTACAAAGTTATAATCTGTATATTATTGTATTAAAATGAGAATCTATATATTGGATTCTATTTGCTTAAATTTTGGAAATATTATTAATTGATATGTTTGTATCTAATTTATGGTCAAGAATACTATTTAAATGGTAAGATATAATATTATATGAGTTGGCTGATTTTTCACTAGATGAAGAAATTCGACCTTTGAGATTAGTTGTTTTTCTTCCCAGGCAATAATTTTATAGAAACAACTCGATGAAATTATTTAATTTATTTTTTGAATACGTTCGCTAAATTTAGTATGCAATATGCAAATATTTTTATTAATTCTCTCCGCTCTTTTTTTATATTGAAATGATCTGCGCACTGCGCGGGTGTGTATACTAGTAAAAGACTTAAAAGATAAGTTTTACAAAGTGGTTATTAGACCAACAATATTATATGGGACGAAGCGCTGGCCAATCAAGAAGTCTCATGTTTAGAAGATAAAAGTAGCGGAAATGGGGATGCTGAGATGGATGTGTAAGTATACTAAGAGAGATATGATTAAGAATGAAAATATACCGGACAAGGTGTGAGTGCATGTGTGGAGGACAAAATGAGAGAAGTGAGGCAGAGATAGTTTGGGCATGTGAAGAGGAGATGCATAGATGCCCTAGTAATTAAAGAGGTGCGAGATGTTGGCTATGGTGGGTCCAAGGAGAGGTAGAGGTAGGCTGAATAAGTATTGGAATGAGATGATCAGGCCGGACATGACACATCTTTAGCTTACCGAAGACATGACCCGCGATATGAGGGTGTGTAGGTCGAAGATTAAAGTAGTGGGTTAGTTAGTAGTCGCGCATTTTCCTTTTCCATATCTGCATCTCTTTCCCTCACTTGTAGTATTATTATTATTCTCGTATTTTTATTTTAAGATGTTATTATTACACATATCGTTTACTTTGCTTCGGTTATCTTATTTTGATGGATGTTGTTATTGTTTCTCGTTCTATAGCTTCTCCACTTTTGTATTTCTTTATCATATATTATGTGATGATGCTATCTTTGAACCGATGGTCAATCAGAAACAATCTATTTATATTACCTTCACAAGATAGAGGTAAGATCTGCATACATACTATCCAACTCATACCCCACTTGTCAGGACTATTATTATATACTGTAGTAATAATAAAGTTAGTTAACTTGATAAAGAGAACATGAGATCAAATTTTGAACTAAGACATGAAGTACTTGGGTCCAAATGAGAAGTGAGCAAAAGGACGAGAGTATTACAAATTTCATTTTTCAAGGGTAAATGGGGAAATGAGACTTTAAAACTCGTTTGTACATAAGAATTTTTTTCTTTTTATCCAATTTTTTTTTTACTTTTTTTCAAAATCAATATTTGTTTATAAAATTTTCAATTTTCACTTGAAAATGCATTTTGAAAATTTTCGAAAATTTGAAAAATTCCAAAAAGCTGATTTTCAAATTTTTCACTCAAATCCCTCACAAAACTAAAAAAAAACCTAAAATTATATTCATATCCAAATACAACTCTAAATTAAAAATACTATTTCATTCCCCTATTTTGAAATTTTACAATTCTTATGTCCAAACGGCCACTAAAGGGTCCAAAACTAAAAATTTGAAAAACCAGAAAGCGAGAGGAAAAGTGCGAAGCTGTGGGTTCCACACGACATGTGAGTGATTGTTTATCGTATAAGGAAGCCGGAAAATAGAAAGAGAAAAACAACGCAATAAAGGTAGTTCCCATTACAACGTTCGACTCCTCTTTTGTTTTTGTTGTTGTGTCAACCCACCATTTCTACGTGCTCAGTACTTTTCGGCTAAATCCCGCTCTTCTTCTGCCATTCTTGTTTTTTCACTTTATTTTCTTCACTCAAAACCCCAAAGAAAAGAAAGAAAAAAAAGGAACTTTTAATTCGAACCCAAACGATGAAGTAACATAACTCAGTCACTTGCTTCCTAGAAAACGACGTCGTTTAAGGTACGAGAACCGACCACATTGTTTTTCTTCCTTAGCAATAAGGTGTGAGCTTCCTTCTCGGTTTTAAGTAATTTTTTGTTTCCACTGATCTCTATCCTCTCTCTCTCAGGATCAGATTTTTGCTACTTTTCCTTCTCTCTCTCTCTCTCTCTCTCTCTCTAACAGACACACATTCTGGTATATATGATAGTCTTTTGTTTTGTTTTTTGCTATTAGGTATAGTGATGCATTGTGGTTTTGTCTTACTGGAGTTTCTTGTTTCTGTGAACACAGGCGATTTCAGAGGCAGATGTTCACTGAGGGTCTTGATAACAACGCCCTCAAGTGGGTTAGAGAGGTCTCATTTCTCTAATCCCTTCAATTTTCTGCAAATTTTCTACTTATTATATTTTGACAATATCTGGGTTTTGTTTTTATCTAATATTATTGAAATTTCAAAATTTGAAGTCTGAATTTAAGATGCTAACTTATCTTTGTCGTGTTGTGTGACTCATTTTGAAATTCACTGTGCGATATGATGTTTGATTCTTGATTTTTGTTGCATTATTTGAAAAATTGAACTCAAAATTTCAGGGTTCTGGGCAGCAGACAAAGGAAATTCCTTACTCTATTTCAAGCCAAAGATCAAGAATTGATCCTATTGGCAGCATGAGAAATGGCAGCCGCAATGTTGGACTTCCACCACCTTCCAAATTCCGTAGTGGCCATTTATCAGGAGTTATTCCGGTATCTAGAGTTATTCCTGGAGATTTAGATGAAAGTGCATCAGCTTCTGATAATGACATGATCACTGACTCGGAAGAGGAGGTTTATGGGGGAAGATACTCACTGGATTCATCACCACACGATGATAGAATTCCTAGCACTACTGCAGCCACTCAAAGATATTACAATCTCCCACAAAGGCGTGCTGCTGCGCTGTATGCAAGTGACAGTGTGTACTCTGATGATGTTAGTTCGTCGATGGAGACGTTGGGGAGAGGTCGTGGATATGTGGCCGATAGATTGATGAGAGGAGCTAATAGATATCCAATTGGAAGTAGTGTTTATACTGAGGAGGAATCTTCTGATTCTGCTGCAAGCTCTGAGTTTTCCTCGACTCAAGTTGGGACCAATAATGGAACCGTTCCACGATCAACAAATTATGCATCTGAGGGGTATGCTTCCAGCATTCCGTCAAGATTGAATACAGGAAACAAGACTCAGAAGGTATTAATTTGCGTTAGCTTTGTTCTGAATTGAGTTTCTAATTGCATTCATCGAAAATGATATTAGCTCTAGAACTTGGTTGCATAGAATTATGCTACAACGTTATTATCCATAATTGAAGCAATCATTTAAAAATATCTTTTTTAGATGGTTGTCAAAAGTTGCCTAAATGTGCTCCTGTATGATGTATGCATCCGCACTCTTACTTCAGATTCTGTGCATTGCCATTTCTATAATCCTCCTTTTTCTCAAATTTCCAGTTGTTAGGATAGCTTCCCTTGTTGCTAGCCAAGTAAAAATGCACACCATTTTTTGGTACCGAGTGGATCCAAACTGATAATGTGGATAATTTGATTACTTCCTCACCAAGAGCTGATGATAACATGACTATACTAAAAACGAACCATCTCGTCCCACATCCCACTTTCATAAGTCCTCACTAACATTTCAACCAGGCCTTGGAATTTAGCTATTTCCCAATCCTGAAGATTCCTTCTAACTCTTATGTCCCAATGAACATGTTCAATTATGTCCTTATTTTTTTTTTATGTATGCACTTATCTTCAGTTTCTGAAGTGGTCTGCATTGCAGTTCTTTAATTTTACCATCCGTAGTGCTGTATAAAATCTAGAATTTAAGTACTACCTTTTGTTTTTAATCGATATAATTGATTAGTATTGAGCAGAATGTTTAATCTATCCAGCTTTTATGCAATATAATTATTCAAATTATAATTTGACATTTTAGGTATTTTCAGTGGAATAAACAAAGACTTCTGTAGTGGCGGTATTGAATAATTTAAAGTAGTTAAATTTGCTCATGGCTAAAAAGGACCAATGTACACCCTTATGGAGCAGAAAGAACTCAGTCCCTGGCATGAGTGGCCAGTTGAACGCTCTATTGTTGCTACATGCTATGTTGCTCGGACTCTTCAAAAGTGTTGCCGTACCCGTGTCGGATCCTCCAAAAATGCACTAAATTTGGAGGATCCGACACGCACCCAACACCATTTTTAAAGAGTCCGAGTAACATAGGCTACATGTTTCCAGTATTGTGTTAGTCACTTAGTTTTGGAATCTTTTTGAGGTTGACTAAGGATAAGCTGATATACTTCTATTGACATTGTCTACTTTTTTTTTCCTTATTCCTTATTTTCATTCTGGAGTAAAGCACAATAGTTCCTTTTTCTCCTGGCACTATCCCCACTGTGAAAATAAATTCAATCCAGAGTATGTCAAATGGATTATCAATTGCATCATATCTTGAATGAGGTCTAACTATTGGATCAGCTGGATGTATTGAGTGTCATATATCTCAAGGATGTTTCTAGTAAGCTTAGGAGATGTTCAACCGCTGTAAGTTGATGAGGATCCATGTTTAGTTTAAACTTTTGAACTTGCTGCTTATTAGGCATGTGCTTCATTCTAATGGAATAAGAATAATGGTTGATGGATGAATAGTCTGATTAGCTCTTGTTGATGGCTACATTGTCCTTTTACACTTTGCAGAATTAAGAATAATGGTTGATGGATGAATAGTCTGATTAGCTCTTGTTGATGGCTACATTGTCCTTTTACACTTTGCAGAATGTTTGCCAGTTGAATTTAATTTGTTCTACTAGTGCAGCGGAATTTTCGTCATGTATCACATGGTTCCTTGTATTTTCTAGAGAAAGTGGACACGCTCTTGTGAAGCTAATTCAATCACTTGCAGGATATGACCTCTGGGAATTTACAGAAGAAGGCCGCTTCTGATGAAGAGGTTCCCAGTGCACCTCCATTTTGTAGTTCTGCTGCCGAAATCAAAGAAGTTGATGAACGGGTCCCTGCCTCTAGTACAGTTAATGTGCAATCTACAGCAGAAGGTAGTGGTCTCTCAACTAAGGCAAATAGTTACATTCCTTCTGGCTTAAATGACCAGGTCAAAGTTCCAAATCATTCTGACTCACCTGTGAGGTTAGTGTTCACAAACCAGTTGCAAAACCTAAAGCTATATCTTTTGCTTGGGCCTTAGTGCTTTCCTTCTTTGAAAGCACAGTACTTCCTGAATTTCAGCTTATATCTGCTTGCATATGTTTTCCAGGACGACTGCTGCTGCTGTAGAAAGTGGAGGACCTTCGGGTTCTTATCCTGCTCGCCTTCCAACTTTTCATGCCAGGTATTGTTACTGGTAAACAAATGTCCATTGTCTAGTTACTCTTCAGGTATTATCAGTGATGATTTTCTGTCCAATACAGTGCACTAGGGCCATGGCATCGTGTGCTTGCTTATGATGCGTGTGTTAGGCTTTGCCTGCATGCTTGGGCTAAGGGTTGCTTGGAAGCTCCGATGTTCTTGGAGAGTGAATGTGCTCTCCTAAGGAATGCGTTTAGGTCAGTTTTTCTTCTTGTTCCACGTTATTGAGCATGCATGCTCATAGAGTTCTTGTGCCCTTGTAAATGAAGAACCCAATTAATCTTGTCTCCTATATGGATTTACAGGTTACAACAAGTTCTATTACAATCAGAGGAGGAATTAATGGCAAATCGCTCTTCAGAGCTTCCTAAGGAGGCGGCTGCCGCAAAACCTAAGCAAATGGTTGGAAAGATGAAGATCCAAGGTAATCCATGATATTTACTTGCAATATTTCAGGGTAATACTACCAAAGAAATCTCTCATTGACCTTGTTCTGATTTTGCAGTTAGGAAGGTTAAAATGGGCCTGGACCCACCTACTGGCTGCAGTTTTTCTTCCTTGAAAACACCAACAATAAAGATGGAATCTGTTAGATATCACCTATCAAATTTGCGGTCAACATTCTCTTCAGGATGGCAAGCAGTTCGCAAAGTCCGTTTTGCTCCTCGTATGCCTGCAAATGGTTCATTCTCGCGCCAGAGTTTGGCATATATGCAGGCGAGCACCCAATATATAAAGCAAGTTTCTGGACTCCTGAAAATTGGTGTGACATCTCTACGCAGCAGTCCATCGTCTTATGAAGTTTTTCAAGGTAAAGAAGTTCATGTGAAACATACCAACTTATAGGGAGCTTTAAAATAATTGGTATTATGGGAAACTTTTATACTTGACCTTTCTCTATCCTCATTCACCTTTCATCCTCTCACTTTAAGACCTATGTGGCACAAAAACTCTGTGACCATAGAGGCATTTTTTTCTTTATAAAAAATTTATAAGGTAATGATTCTATTTGCTAAATGCTATCTCACCCAAGAAACCTTATATGTGATCAGAGACATACTATTGTTTATTACGACTAAAAAGTTCAATGGAAGAGGATGCTATAAAAATGCAACCTGGATCAGGCGAAACCCACATTTTGTAAGTTTCTCTTTGTCCATCAGGCTTCATCCTACTTCCATTTTATTGAGTTTGTTAAATGCATATTTTGTCTTTGGAGAACTGCTATAATGTTTGGATTATGATGTGAACATCTTTACAGCTTTCCAGATAGTTTTGGAGATGACCTAATTGTTGAAGTCCTGGATTCCAATGGAAAGCATTATGGCCGTGTCCTTGCTCAAGTCGCCACCATTGCTGAAGAACCGGTAAACCTGTCTGAATGCTACTTAGTCATCAACTATCATAACTGCTTCAGTTAGCTCGTGATGCTTACATAACGATTCATTCAGGGTGAGAAACTTCGATGGTGGTCTGTCTATCGTGAACCAGAGCACGAGTTTGTTGGCAAAGTACAACTCTTTATAAATTACTCAGCTACATTTGATGAAAATAGTCATCTTAAGGTGAGTTTTGTCATGCTTTCAAGCATTTCTACAACTAAAAGAAGAGTAAAAGAATTATTTATCTACGTTGGCTCATGTAATTTTGCTTAAGGCATTGCTTTCCAAGTATGTAGTTTAGAGAGAGGAAAAGAGAAGATAAGAACGCAACACATTCTGACTTTCAAATCAGTATTTGTGGACTTCCGTAGATACTGAGCCTGTCTTGTTCGTCATTTCACTCCTCCCCACATTTAATTACAATGATATGAAGCTGGCTCTTTTGAAATGGAAACATATGAAGCTGACTCTTTTGAAATGGAAACATATGAAGCTGACTCTTTTGAAATTGAAACATATGAAGCTGACTTGTTCATTTCTTAGCATATTCAAATGATATTTGGAAGGACCTCTTTGCCATTGGACTCACGATTGATAATGCATTCCATCTTATTAACTATTGTTATCTTTGTGGAGTTCTTCTGTGGAAATGTGTAATGTGCTTTTATTCTCTGACCATTAAATGATTTGCTGGAATCCCTTGCTCAAAAAAGTTATGTGGAGAAAATGAAAGCACAATTAGATAACTGTTATAAAACAATAAAAGAAGAAGAAGAGTATTGCAAAAAAAGAAAGAGAGAATTCTTATTGATTTGGGATAAATTACAATGGAATAGAACCCCTCTATTTATAGGGAAAAAGTGACTTAGCCACAAGTAACAAACCCTAGAATCTCTCTAATATATAGACATTCACCTTAAATACAATTCTATTTATAACACTCCCCCTTGAATGTCTATTCAACAGATAATGTGCCTTGTTAGAACCTTAATTAAAATAAAACCCAGTGGGAAAAAATTCTAGTGAAGGAAAAAGAGTACACATATTTAGAAATACGCCTATTGGTTGCCTCGTAAAAAACCTAGCAAGGAGGCAACGCCTATTGGTTGCCTCGTAAAAAACCTAGCAAGGAAAACCCAGTGGGGGCAAAACCCTGTAAGGGAAAAAGAGTACAACGCGTATTAACTCCCCTTGATGAGAGCATCAATTCACATCTTTAAGCCTTCGCATTCCAATCTTGTGCACCATCTTCAAAAGATCGTTGGTGGAGATTTGATAAACAAATCAGCCATATTAACTTGAATGAATATGTTGCATCTTGAAATCATTATTCTTGATAGATATATAATGTCTTCATATAATATCGTGGAATGGCTTTTCAATATCTCCATAGAGGTAAAAATTCTCGTTATCACATTATCATGCTTATAGTTATAGCAAGATACATATGTGCACAAAATTGCACTTAGAATGTGGTGCTTCAAAATCAAGAATTGTATATGCTTTAAGTGATTTAAATCCTTCAGGGATTATCATATAAGCCATATAAATAGACTTTAGATGCATATCAAGTTTTCATACCATGCTAGACATATAAGACAGATAAAAGTGATTGCATACACTATTGACTTTATACTGTCAAGTGTTTGAACTACATGTCTCTCATATGAAACCAATTCTATTCGAATTGTGTCTCTTCCATTTGACCAATATTTTTGTGTCTGTATTCGACAGACTTAAGATCCTCATCTATACTTAGCGCTCTGATAGATGTTTCGTCGACGAATATTTTATATCGGTTCCAATATTTTTTCATAAAGACATAACATAGAGATCTCTTCATTCATATTTTCAGGTACCTGAACCTCTCCTGAAATTTTATGAAATGTTATTATGATCATTTTGATAATTTGTTCATCTTCTTTATCAAGAATTTTATTTGAAACCGATTTGTCTATACACTTTAAGCGTACCATAGACTTTGTCCTTCTAGGACTTTACGGTGAGAATATAGTTACTTTCTTTGGGTCCGCAAATGCGTCTGGCATGCTTTGCAATATATTGCAGATGAATTATCTTTTTATGAACTTCAAGTTCATATTATCTTATTCGAGGATCTAGATGTAGAAATGATAATTCATTCCGTAACTTTTTCTCAACTGTTTATCCTTTCTCCCTCTCATGTTAGAAAAACTAACTTGCTTCCTCAACTTTTGGAAACCTACCTTTGTGTGTTATAGTGTTAATCAAAATATACACCGCATATCAATAATAATAAGATGGAATTATTTGGTTCCTAACCCTGAACCACTTATGAGGGGAGAATGTAATATACTTTTGTATATAACGAATATCAAACTGATATAGATTACTTTCTTCTTATAAGCAATAGTTTAGCTATTAAGTGGAGGCACTCAATAAATCATTTTGCTAAACCAACTGTGATATAAACCAACTTATCAAGATGAATTGTCTTGAATAGAAAATTTGAAAATTATGCTCTAAATTAAATTATTGAGCAAGTTACCTCACAAATACAAGGTTGCGGGTTAATAATAAACGCACATGTAACCATCTCATAGATGCATCTTATGTGGTATACATGACAAGTGAATGGGCCCATATTCACCTTTGATATTTCCAGCATTCATGGGATTCAATCCCAATTTTAGTTGGTCTATTAATTAATGAGAACAAACAACATAAGAGACTTCGTAAAGAACTTTCTAGTTCTTTAATATTTATCCATGTGAATTCTCTTTTATTTTTGCACATCATACTTAAATTAACATGGCTAAATCAATTATGCCAACTGGATAAATTATCAATGTTGATAAACTTCAGGTTTACGCCATGACGTGTGCAATTATCAATAAACTTCAAGTTTATTATGATATGGGTTTTTATATCAATAAACTTCCACTTTATTGTGGCATTCTTTTATGCGTGTAGTACAAACTGAAGAATAAAACGGGTAGCTTTTCACATACATATTACCCCGCTACAAGTTGTAGTAATAGAAGATATTAAATTTTTCCTTTATTCATAGTATCAATATAATCAACCGCTTTCGCGTATACTTTGGAAACTGGATAAGTTTCTTTGAGACTTACTACGACACAATATATTGACATGATAATCAATTGTATTCCTCCAAAATAGTAATAATTGGCTCTTTTAGAGCTCTCAATTAATTTTATATTACCATATATTCATCAATATCCATATGGTGAATATCTCTCTCAAAGAGAAAGTTATACCATTATAGTCATGGTCAAAATTATATGCAAGATTTGTTTCTTGTATCACCGTTGTCCTTTAATAATCACATTGCCAAAATATTTTAGCGTACAATAGCTACGTGACTAGTGATCATTCATGCCATAATAATGACATTATTTTTTTATTTCCTCTCAAATCTCCTTCTAGAGGTGATTGTGGTATATTCACTACCACTAGCACGTTCATATTCTTCCAAAAATGAATATGTATTCATAAATCACATGTTGTCACATTCACATCATGAATGGACCATAATCATCTATATGTGCTTTACAAAATCTCATGCCAAATCGAGGACAAATATTAATTTCACAGAGCGAAGGATTATTTTGAGAATTCTTATTATTATCATTACCACAATGATGATGATTATAATTTCGTCTATTGCCACGTCCACATCCATTGATACCTTCACGGTAATAATTTTGTCTTCTTTCAGACTTATTACATATTGCTACCATATTCTCTTAAAGGAACGAGAATGAAGCAAATTCAATGGGGCGGGTTTCCACTTCTTGTGCTCATAATCATACATGAATTTGATCATAGCAAGACAGAAATTTTACCACTTCGGGTGGTTATAATTTCTCACAAACTCTATTAGAGTTATAATCAAAATTTATTGTCTTTGCTTGTATTTAAAATCAAATTATAGAATTTCAAGAATTTAAAAGAGAAAAATAAGGCAAAATACTTATCTTAAGTCCAGAATTTATTCCTGAAGGAAGTTCATGAACCAATTGACAATCATTATGCTTAATATTATGTACAGGTTGAGCACCATGCACGTATCCCAAAGCCTGGTGACCGAAGCAGATTCCTAGTATAGGAATATCAATGTATTCACCCAAGAGTCTCACGCAAATTCCTATATCTTCTCTCCACGGGGGTTTAATTTCTCAAACGCTAGACAACTAATAGAGATGAAGAAGAGTATTGCAAAAAAAAAAAAATTAAAACAACCGCCCTCTACTCAATTGGTTCAAGTCTCGTGCTGATAACGTGTAATAAAACAATAAAAGAAGAAGAAGAGTATTGCAAAAAAAAAAATAGAGAGAATTCTTATTGATTTGGGATGAATTACAATTGAATAGAACCCCTCTATTTATAGGGAAAAAGTGACTTAGCCACAAGTAACAAACCCTAGAATCTCTCTAAAATATAGACATTCACCTTAAATACAATTCTATTTATAACAATAACGAATTTCTATTATCTGACACTTTTTTTGTTTCGTCCTATCATAGTGTGGTTCGGTTGCAGAAACTGTTGCTTATGACCTAGCACTTGAAGTTGCAATGAAGATTCAGCAATTCCAACAAAGAAACTTGACACTACATGGTCCTTGGAAATGGTTACTCACTGAGTTTGCATCATACTATGGAGTTTCTGATGCATATACTAGATTAAGGTACAATCCATTTACATTTGCTTGTTTTAGGTACTGGAGGAGTTGTCCGCCTCCTTATTCTGTGCTAGCTTGTATTAATTTTGCAACATCAACTGTTCAGGTACCTTTCATATGTCATGGATGTCGCAACACCAACTGCTGATTGTCTTACAATTGTGCATGATCTTTTGTTGCCTGTAATAATGAAGGGCCGTTCTAAGAGCACCCTCAGTCATCAAGAGGTAACACTTGTAAACCGAATTGAATCTGATATATCACATATTGCAGATTGGACATTGATGCTGTCTTGTGTCTCTAAGATTCCAAGTTATTCTGTGACTTCATTGTCTTCAAAGTTGTATTCGACATCTGTGTTTTTTATAAAAGCATGGCCTACAATTTGCTCACATCTCTCTCCTAAGTACTGACTTTGCACAATGTTTGCTTGCTACCTACAGAATCGTATTTTGGGGGAAGTTGAGGACCAGATTGAACAGATCTTTGCGATGGTTTTTGAAAACTACAAGTCATTGGATGAGTCAACACCATCAGGGATAATGGATGTTTTCA